TTCCATTCAAACGAACCCGTACGCACGCAACAATATTTTGTGTAAAATTTTTGTTTTAAAAGACGGCAAAATAAAGTTTTTTTTTTTTTTTTTTTTGGTAATCAATGAAAATTTTAAAACTTTTGGTATATCTTTTTTATTTTAGGACCCTAAAATTTTAAAATAATCGAAAAAATCGAGAAGTTTTCGAAATTTCGCCCAAAATTCAGAAATTAAGTTAAAATTGCATACAAGCTTTATTTAAAAGTTTCTTTTTCTGCTCTATCTGAGGATGCTAACAATAAAATTCTTGTATTTTTAATTTGCTCGTTGTACGAAGGTTTCTGAGAAAAATAGTTTAACCAGTAAACCAAAAAAAAAAATGTATGTAATGAATTGCTTCACTACATTATAATGTCACCCACAAATAGTATGGGTAGAAATTTTTGAATTGGATAGCTTATCATTAAGCAATTAGAAACCGATGACAAACTTTCACCTTAGCGACAAGCCAACATGAGAGAGTTAAATAAAAACTTATCAAAATACAATATTTAATATAAGAAACTCTAAAATTTAACGATAATATAAAGAATTTAACGTAGGCCCATTAATTTTTGTTTCTGGCTCCTAGCTCTGAAATTAGAATGAAAACAACAGTCGGCATGAGAAATTTTACTTATTATTTAATCGTAGATGTATTTACAAATTTCGGCAAGAAATCTCTCATACTTTTATATTCTTTAGTACTGCAGAACCTATAACCTTCTGCAAAGCACCAGATAACTAATATTTTCTTTTATTAATACAAACAAATGTTAGTAAGTTTCTTATAAAAGATTCCCGATGCACATTTTGATTGCAAGTAATTTAAATTGATTTTTCCATTTGTTATGAGAACACGAACCAACATATCCCTTAGAAAAATCTCTAAGAAGATACCCATTCTCTTTGGCAGACTGCTGTCTTGTTCTGTTGACTGAACCAGTTAACTAACCAACATATAGTAAGCTAAAAGATTAAACACAATTGCAACTACATTTTGTTTCGAGCTGCAGTTACTTATTGCGTTTTATTTTATTTTTATTTGTGCAACCGAACACGCTGATTTTTAAGGCGAAATTCACAAAGATGCCTAAATTTTCCAATGAAACAGAATTTTATCTAACAAGGCAGTTGATAGTAATTTCGAGTAGACCAGCTTTCTAACAAAGAGCAAATAACCGCAATGAAAGGCTTTTAATGTTAACTCATGCAAGAAATGGACGAAAGCAGGAAGTTCAGTAATTCTTAATGCAGCTTTAATTTTGGATTCTATGTCATTAGAAAAGAGGATCAGCCCTTTCTGAGGATAACATTTTCTTGGTAACTGCGTCGATGTCGATGTAAGTAAGTAATTCACCTGAGTAGTTCTCCATTTTTTGCCTGCAGTGAATATGTGTTGAAATTTCACTCTGAAAATATAAATTATACCCAAAATAAAAAATGATGCCGAATTTGTTAGTGATTGACATTATCTCGAGGCATACTGCAATTTTACTCTATCTGAAAGGAATCAAGAAAATTCTTCAAAGTGTTCATTAACATTCGGAAAATCTTATTAATTTAATATTAATGATTCTAATTTTTCTCTTTATTGCTATATAAATGTGGTCTCAAACTGCGGCCCTCGGAACAGTTTTGCTAGCCCGCGAGTACCTTTCATGTAAACTAATTAGTATAATTAAGAAATATTTGGGAAAAAAGTTTACGGTTTTAATCATTTTGAGTCCAATTTCATTTCATTACCATTAAAAACAAACGTGAATAACGCCCCAGAAAATCTACAAATGTTGCTAATTAAATTACACTATGGTATATATCTCACTGAAAAATTTAAAGCTACGTATTTGTTGAACCACTTTTTCCCAAAATAAAAGTAACCTCAGTTAAAAATTTTTGCAATAAGAGCAATCACTTAGTTTGAGAATACAATTATATATGAATGGGCTGAGAATAATGTTATACAAGAACGGGCTGACGGATGAGCATCTGAAATTCGTGATTATTTCTAGTAATTTTTCTCAAAAATTTGCAACTTTGTCAAAAACGCAGTGCTTGCAAACATACGTTATTTTTGCTACTTTGTGAAAGAAAAATGCTGTCTGAAACTTGTGTGAAAGAAAAATGTAATGCATAAGAAGGATAATAAGTTGTCATTATTTATTCTCAAATTTTGTCCAACTTAAAAATTTTCCCCAATTTGCTAAGTTTTAGCATAAATTAAAAGTAATAAATTAAAAGTAATTAATTTAAAGATTAATTCAACGTGTTAGTATTATTTGAAATAAATGTTAATCTGGAAATTTAATTTTTAGCTATCAGAATATTTGAATTACAGAGTGCAACCAACTGATATTTCTTGCAGACGCCAGCCTTTAGATTTCAGATAGAAAAAAAAAAAATGTAAATTTAATTTTTTTCTTTACGTCATTATTATGAATGCTTATATATCTTCTGATAAAAACTTAGTAAATAAATTTTTTAATTTACTTTAAAAATTTGTTTCGTTGAAAAGAAATTTCATTTGGGAAAAAGTAAACAAAAATAAAAATAAAAACAAAAATTAGAAAAATAAAATAATTAAAATTCCTCCAGTCAGCTGCTTTCAGATCATGTATTTCGCCTGCACGCAGTTTGTATTTGAGATCCCTGCCATATAGCATTTACCGATTTCATTTCAGCCATGGTGGTAGGAAGTAAGATGGAGTGGCCCTAAACAAGTTTCTCCCATACCCTGCTCTGAAGCACTGGCGATCCCTACGTGGTGACAAAAACATTGGGTCATTTACCATTAAGATCAATGGGTTTTGACGCGATCGGATGTAAATTCGATTTTATTCGGTTAAGGATTACAAAAATTAAGATCAAAGTTTATTGCATTATTAATATTAAAATTATGCATTATTTCTTTTATATTTATAGAGCTTCTTCCTAAAATACTTTCTTAAATAGGACATGATTTTTTGGCTTCTGAGGCATCTTTTAAATCGAAAAATATAAGTCAATTTATAATTAATGCTCTATTTGGTTCATTTTAAATTAGAGAATTATTAGAAATTAGCGAAATACTTTTAAATAGTATTTAATTTTCTCTGAACATTTCTGAAAGGGAATAAAATAATGATTTCATTTTTAATTAACCCAAATATGTACAACGTGTAAGCCCAAAGTGATTATTTTTCAGATATATAAAATTAAAACGATGAGTTTAAAATGAGCAGCAGTAAAGCCTCTCCTCTAAAAAATTTTAAAAGGTACATGTTACAATAATATATGGATGTGAACAAAATTTATTTTATTTAAAACATTTTGGCATTTGGAACATAAAATAAAAGTAGCGAATACTCTATCAAGGATTTCGAAAGACGTATACAATTTTAAAGGTACCGTAAGGTATTTTTCATTCTTTAAGAATAACATTTTTGTTAAAATCTATATTTTTGTAGTTCAACAGCTTAGAATTTTATAAAACAAATTCATAGTTAAAATCGCTGTTGTTACTTATCGAAAAATAACCAAGATGTGATTTTTGCGTAAATGTCACTAAACTATACAAATCCATCACACTATGAATGTTTCTTTCATGCGAAAGTGTCACTTTTTCGATTTGTATGGAACTGTCGTGTGCTGAAATACTATCAGAACACTGTCAAGCGAGCTTCTGAATGTAAACAAAGAACACTCCATCTGGTGACCGAAGCTTCGAAGCAGTGCTTCACTTCTAGTGCCGGTTGGCCACTCCTTCCTTTCTTACCTCCATGATTTCAGCACTTTTTTTCTTTTCTCGTATTCCTAATAGGTGGCGCTGTTTGCCTATTGTATTAATAGTTCTAGCCACTTCAGAACAGATCCATTTCTTCTGAAAAAGATATATCTGATGTCCTTTTGGAAGCTACCGAACCAGAAATGTACGGACCATTACTTTTAGTTAACGAGATGGAATTAATTAATTTATGTAAAGTATGCAACATTGTTAAAAGATTTTTCATTTATTTTTAGTAACCCTAAATTTAATTACTGCAGACTTTATCTTTCTTTCAAAATAGCTTTACAGAAAACGAAAAACACAGATTTATTAAATATTTTAAGAGACAGGATATAGAAAGGATATTTGAGCTATTTTTTATACAATGATTGTAGACATCTGTTTTTGAAAAGAAACACACGTGCTTATTTTTTTTTTTTTTAAATGCCAATCAAATACTTATTTTTTTAAAACAGATGCTTTCACAAATTTTTGTTCCTTGCTTTATAAAACGTGCACCATGTTTCTAGCTTACATAGGATTAAGTTGGATATTTTATAAACTAAATATATTGTATAAATGTATCACAGTATTAATTAAATCTATTTTTTTAATTCTAGAAAGGGATTAATAAAATACAGCACTATAAATTACAATACTTTTTTACTGTAATAACGTTTCCGTTCATATGATTTTCACCAACGTAGTATACCTGTTCAATAAGGACAAATATATAAGTAAACAAAAACTTCAAATAAGTAAACTATTTTGAGTTGAGTAAAAAAGTACAAACTAAGATTTCTAGTCGTGTAAGGATTCAAAATGCTCACGAAGAAGATAGAAGAATTATTTTAATTCATAAAGTTAAGATATTTTATGCTCACTTAAAATTTTAAATTACATAAAATATTTTAATGTGTCTTAAGTAAAGAAACCAATTACCTTTTGCAATACGTTAAATTATTTAGTAATTTTACCAACAGATGGCGAAACTACTGCTTTAAATTATGCGGATTTCAGAAATTATTAGTTAGTACGACTAATAACTTTAACTAATAACTTTACTAATACTTTTTAGTATTTCTAATAAAGCTAATACTTTTTTAAATGGAAACGTGTTTGTTTAATTTAATGGAATTTATGTGATTAAATAGAAACTGATATCTGTGTATTTAAGAAAATTTTAAATATATTTTTTCGAAATATGTAAATCAGTTATGAATATTATTAACAGATGGCAGCACCATTGGATCAGATTGCTGGCCTTCACGACTTACTATGGAATAGAAGTAAGTAAAACATATTTGTAAATACAAAGATGATCAAGACAATGCGGAATAATGGTTCGGTTTTTTGTAATTCTGTATTTGTGTCAATAATTTTAATTCTCTTGACTTCTGTATTTGACATCTTAATCTTCCTAACTTTTCATTGTGGTTGAAAATACTATTAATCCTGAGAAAATACATCAACTGTTCCAGAGACTGATACTGAAACTTTAAGGTTAAAACATTTTATGACGGCTAGGCTTCTGCACCGTTGCGTTATTTCTGAAACGTGGATTTTAAGGGATTTCAGGATTATTAATGTAACGAGCATAATGATGTACATAGCATTAAATTTGTTGAACATTAAATTAATGAATATGCACAAATTAATAAAAGAGGTAATTTATTAGGCACGTATTGTAGCTATCAAATTTATATACCAATCGAGAAACGATGGATATGCGTAGTAACTTTATATGGGTGTGAAACAACAGCATACGCATAGGTATTAAATGCAATGTAACTACGAATTATACAAACATCAATGAACTGTGAATATAATGTTGTCTAAATATCCTCCTCCTGCTTGGATATTTTGCTTGGGCTATGCGGTCAGGTTTCCATAAAGTTAAGTTATTTTGTACTCACTTAAGATCTTAAATTAGTTAAAATATTTTGATATGTTTTAAGGGTAAAAGTTTACAATTGGGTGCCCCTTGTTTTTTGGCGATTCTTTTTTGACGCCAATATCGGCGCCAGGAACGCACAATTTCAAGATGACCGCTACACAAAACCAAAATAAGAAGTCGAAGAATTGCACAAACTCTGTGTCCGTGTACACATCGATCTATTTTCACTTGAAAAAACATCCTAAAATTGCACAAAGTAGGCATTGCGCACTGCCTTAAATTTTTCCATGTACACAGCAATCTATTTTAATTTAAATAAAATCAGGAAGCTAAAAATATCATCGTAAAAAGAAGTGAGGTTTCATCGCCAAATTTAAAAAAAAATTGTCGCCAATCGAAGGGTTACCCAATTCTACACGAGAGCCGTTTTAAGTAAAGAAACCAGTTTCCTTTTGAAATCCGTTAAACTATTTACAAATATTATCAACAGATGGCAGCACTACTGCTTTGAACAATTGGTTGATTAGAAATTATTAGCATGACTTGCTAACTAATAATTTTACTAATACTTTTTAGTACTCTAATAATAATAATGTTTTTTAAATGGGAATTATTTTCTTTTATTTAATCGAATTTAATTAATTGTAAATTGATATCTATATATTTTAAGACAATCTTAAATATATAATTTAGTAGATACCAGTTTTCCTTCGAAATATGTTAAATCAGTTATAAATATTATTAACAGATGGCAGCACTATTCGATCAGCTTACTGACTGAATAGCAATTATTAGTTAGTACGACTTACTATGGATTAGAAATATAGATTTTGCACTATATTAAGATGTTTAATAGAATGGGATGTATTTCACAGCTGACGGCATTTTTCAATTAATCAGTAGTTCACGAATGACGCGCCATGGCTCTCTTCTTTAAGCAAAAGGCGCAGATTTAATATGCCCTTAAAAGTACTTTAATTTTGGAAAATGGATAATATGTTTGCATACCTAAAATAGGCAAATGATCTGTTTAAGTATTTGGAGTTTGAATTGTCTGGCAACACTGGTATTTTAGTATTCTTAGTTCAATAAGCAGACATTTTGTAGACATGGAGCTTTCCGCAAAGGAACAGCCCAGTGTCATGGTAAAAGCTCATTAGAAGTCTGAAATGTGTTATGCACAGACTGTTAGTTTTTTCAAGTTTCATGCAGTTTTGGTATACGAAAGTGCATCTAATCAACAATCCCAGATTGCTAAAGAAATTTGAGGATCCAGGTTCGGCAGCAGACATTAAATCACCATACCCTCGGTCCAGCCGATTTGTTGAAAACACCGCTATTATCAGTGACAGTGTTATTGGAAGTCCCAAAAAAATCCGAACTTAAAATCCTAGAAAGACTAATAATGGAAGACTTAAAGAGGAAATTTAATGTGTTATTAGTTGTCTTCAATAGTCAGATATGTGAAAAATGATTAAAAATTTTATGGAGGGATTGTGGTGTTGGAGAGTAAGTTGTGGAGCTGGTATTTTTCATTCTTAAATCAGAAAATTTACCTTTGGTATGTATGTAAAATTATTTTCTATTTTATTGAACACATGAAATCCGACGTTGGAGGCATCCTTTATTTTTATTCCTTGAAAGTAACACAGAATCCTTTCTATCTCACCATTTGGGCAATTTTTACTGCATCTCAAAGCTCGGATATTTTTACCCTAAATATAGCAAGCAGTAAATTTTAGTTTTAAGTATCTTAAGTTATATTTTTGCATTATTTATGGTAAAATAAAGGTTGGATTACATACTGTTTGTCTACAATCAACCACTAATAAGTGACCGCACTTGTAGTTTGATTTACAAGTTAAGTTCCCACATATGAAATAGTAGTTCCCTGTTTGCTACGTGATTAGAATCACTGAAGAAGTATTCGCCCCTGAAATGGTAGCGTAATTATTTTTGATCTCACTGTTTTAATTACTTTTATTGTATTTCAAAACAAGGATTTATTTGCCTTAAATAATATAAGAAAATAATTCTAATTTAACTCCTTAATTCTCTTTATGGCTTATAATTTTGCATAATTTTTGCATGAATTTATATGTTTTGTGTAAAGGTGGGATCATAACTGTTTCCCTGAAATCAGTCGCCTATAGGTGGTAGTACTTGTATTTTATTAGAAACTTTAAACCCCGACACACGAAAAATCGTTCACTGACCGAAAAATCGTTGGCGATACCTAAAAATTAATTTTTTAAAAATATATTTTTTATGTAGACAGTTTTTGGTAATTCTTTGTTAAAAGTATCACATACACTTTGGCAAAAATTGGCGACATGTAAAATTAATTTGGCGAAAGTTTGGAAACGAACCATAATTCAGCAATAGCTGCTGTTATAAGAATCAAATATTTTCTCTTTTTTACATATTGCAGCTATGTAAACTTTCATAAATATGAATCCTATATTGGTGAAATGTTCTTCTTTGCCATTTGTTTCGTCATTTGGTGGCAGCTCAGAGTCGTTCGATTTTTCTAACCATTTCCTCCGAATGTTGAATCTACGGAATTGTATATGTGATTCAATATAAAATTTTGTAAACGCCCATTTTTAATTTCTCGCTGTGATAAATACACCATTTGTATTAACAAAGTCTTTAAGACAATAATTAGGACGTTATTAAAACTATATTGTTTAAATAATATATTACAATTCGAATATACTGTAGAGATATAGTTCCTATAACACAAAGGAAATGAGAAGGCGGATGAGTTTGCAAAGCAAGCAGCTCAAATGCAAATAGGTTTATTTGTTAGCATTCTTTGGCCGCGCTCTCATCTAAAATGCAAATTGAAGAAAGCAGCAGTGTAGAATTGGCAACAAGAATGGAACTGCACACGAGAAAGCAGAAAGAGCGGGAGTGAACACACGATTTCTTCCAAAATGTTTCAAAAAATTAATAAATTCCATCCCGTTTCTTGTCTAATAGGCAACAGATTATGGTTCCTTCACATATTTTTTCCATAGAAATATTTAGGCCCACCAGCGGCCGAGCGGTTAAGTCGCTGAACACTGGTAGTTCGGTCCGAGGTTCGAATCCCGCGAACGGGCTGGCTGCATGGGCGTTTTCGTGGTTTTCCCCATGTGTAACGTGTATACGAGCCAGTTTCCCTTAGAAAGTCCTCCACGAAGGCATCCCTCCCCTTAGGCAGATAGCCCTCGAGGCTTTGCCATAATCGCACACACACACACACACCATAGAAATATTTCTCCTTGTAGCTTTTGCATATGCGGGAACGTGTGGACACTGACCACTACGTCTTCCAATGCCTAATGCCCAAGCCATTTCCTCTGAAACATCTTCGAAACACTGACTGGATATTAAAAAGACTTATCAAAATTCAAGCCAAAAACCAATAATATCATAAACAAATTAGAAAGTGTAGGCATGGACCTTTGTCAAGTAACGTAAAAGAACACTAAATTGTTATTACTAATAACATCACTGAAATGCTACAATAGTTTTTAAATGAAATATGGTTTTATGACTGTATTTATCATCGCATTTTATTATATTTATTATTAATTACATTAAGGTCGTGTTATTTATTCAAAAATATTTGTAATAGGACAGTGTTTAAGATTATGATTGGGACGGCATTTAAGATTGCATTGATTTGGTACTAAATTTTATGTATTATTGTACAAAGAAGGACGGATAAGCTTGATCAATGTACCATGTAGTATTGTAGCAAAAGAACCAAGGGGCTTGTTCGAATGCTCACGCAACTTTTGGGTGGTGCTCAAGATGGTTACTAGATAGAAGTGTTAAATTGGTGGGCAGTTCGAGTTGTCGCTAATGTTTTTTACCTCCGCTAGACCCGTTTGTGAATCATTAAGGAACTGGTAAGAGCAGTAAAGGAAATCTCCTGCTGTGGACCAGTGTGTTACAAAAGTATCAAAGTATCAAATGTTGGAGTTGGAATGATGTCTCTTTTACTTCTTAGTTCTACCTCTACACTATTCTATCTTTTACCTATTCTAGAAAATACTGTGTTATATGGAACCGTGTTAAATGAGACTAACAGCCAATACAAAATATACGGATGCATTCCAAAATCATTTACGAACAAACTATTTTTTTAATGTTGCTTATTAATGCACTGTTGTCTCATTTCAATTCAGATTTTTCCTAATCTGCAGGTCTGATTTTCCCATGTTCTGAAAGTTTAATGAAAGCTGTATGCATGTGTCCCCGGATAGTCGAAAGTGTATTCGATAATTACAATGTATGTATAATTTTTGTTTGTTCTTCATAACTATGTTTTGATTTATGTACCATTATTTATGAAATGTAACGTACAGAACGGGCTGTTAAAACCCATTCATATTAATTTTTAATGATTTTGTTGGTGTGAATATCGCCAGGTCTAACACAAGTTTTAACCATTTCATTGTTACTATTATATTTAATGTAACTGAATGGAACTCTAAAATGAGATTTCGGGTATTCCAAGGTAAAAAAATTTTATTTATGACATAAATGCAATTTCTATAAAAATAAATAGTATATTTCTTGCATTAGGAAACACTTTTGGAGTGCTTTCCTACATGGTATAATGCCCCTAGGATATCACAAAGATCCATTTTGTGGGTGGTGTTCAGCATATCTGTAAAAATTTCTGTTTTCACGCATAACAAACATAGAAGGATTTAGCTAACCTGGGGGAAAACAGTGATTGAAGAGAAATCATACCCAGTATTGTGACCCTGAGGAAATAATATCTTGATACATTATATAAATAATATTTGAAAAAAATCAGAAAAATCTTATGTGTGCGAGTTTGTGTGTATTATATATACAAATATATTGTATATATATATATATATACTCATCACTTGTAGAATTATTAGAAGTAGACCAAAAAAATGAGAAAATTTACAAGTTTCATAATATTTTATCTTGAATATTACTTGTTATAATGTGTATTGTAAAGTAATAATTAAACTTTATTTTTATTAATTTATGTTTTAAAAAGTGTTCGAAAAGAATGCAAAAGAAAAAGATAACAAGTGAATAATCCATCTATATAGAAGTTATTGTTTGATTAAGTCTTTTTGAGAAATTGCCTAAGCTTTTAACTTTTTACGTGAAGGAATTTTGATGAGGATGCATTAAATTTTCGTTATTTAGCCATGCTGTCAAGCATTCTGTTTGAATGCATGGTTATTCGGCCAAACTTAGTGTTTAAATGTTTTCCGCTTTTCTTTTCTTCATATATTAATATATATTGAATTTGAATAGTTACGTTTATTATACCCACTGTGAATATTACTACACCAAGCTGCTACAAAAAAGTATCAACAATTTTTAAATCTTGTTCCAAATACTGATTCAGCCTCAAAAACTGAAAAAGTTGAATTTTAAGAAATTATGTTTATTCTGTCCAAAACTTTTCATTTATGGTTCAACATATTACAATTAATTCATGATTCAACATATTACCAAATAATGTTTCAACCAAAACATCAAATAATGGATCAATCATTCACCATCTATTGGTTGCAACATCTTCAGTACTATATCTTATTGAAACTTGGAAAGAAGTTTTTGACAGTGTAGCTTCCTTCAGAATGGTTCCGTCTGAATATGACTTTTTATGTGATGCAAGACTAACTTATTTTAAAAGATAGTACGATGTGATTCGTTGCTTCAGTTTTGAGGGTAAAGAGACTGCTTTGTTGAGCTTTCAGAGATGATTTCATTTATTAACTTTATGTCTATCTAACACGAGAGTAAATGAACACAAATGCGACTCCTCTTGTTCGTGACGAATTGAATCTTTTTATGGTTGTTTTCTACATCAGGTTTACAGTAAAAATTTTATCTTATAGCGATATTGGGATTGCTGGCTATCAGGCACACCACGATTATAAGTGGTTGGACACCACTGACTTACATCATGCTAAAGTAGATGACATTATTTCTCAGACCTACCGTAAGCTAAGTGCGTAATTTTGCTTAAAATTACGATATAATTAAAATATGGTACTGAAACGTTTGAAACTTAAAATACTTTCCGTGTGATTCAAAATGATTGCATTTAAATATCTGATTATATTTTTCACAATAACGGTATATTTACGAAAATCTGAAAATTAAAAAAAAATTGTAAGAGCGAGTATGATTAAAAATATATTTGAAATTTTTGCAATTTTCCATGCATTTTATCTCTTCTATGCATTCACAAACTCACATGTGTATAACTAAAAAACTTGCTTATATATTAAGGCATTAGGCTTAAAGAAAATTCATGTTTTGAATTGAAAATATGCAAGGTACTTTAAAGTAAACTGAATTTTACAAGGGCAATTATCCGCCAAAATTCTAAAGACAGGAGAGAGAAATTGAGGTTAGTTAGGGTATATTTAAGGGTGCCATTGGATTATGGCTAGGTTGTTGTTTCATTTATCACCAAGTTGTTTCATTTATGGTAACCTGAGTAGTGAATATTACGGAAACCCTATTATGACGTAATTGGTTGCGTGATTGCGGTGAATTTGACTGACGGGAAAATATTTGTAAGGGCTTGTTTGTGTGTTGGATGTTGGTTAGGAAGTACGTTGCTTATTTTCTGGTTTACACGGTAAAATGGCTGAATGTGGTAGTATTAAATTGAAATTTCTGTACGATATGGAACGAAAAGGAAAAAAAGCATTAATCGACCTGCGTGTAAATGAAGGTTTACTTAGTAGCCATTATAAGTGTCCTGTTTGTACGAAGGAAATGCGTATGGTCGAACGTCGGAGGATACCGGCACTACGTAGGATATTTTTGACTATTATTTTTGTGAATTTATGTTGCCGACTCTAGTACGCCGATAGTTCAGATAATTTTAGGAAGTTTTGGATGTTGTAAGGCAATCCTGAAGACACGGAAATTTCTAAATAAGGTAAGTGGATATTTCCTTTGCATAGTGCTTAGATGCTATATAATGCCAAAAATCGCCAAGGGGCACCCGTAAATTATATTTTTCCCGAGATTGAAATAAATAAATTTTGTAACGGATTGCGTGTGCCCAAATGGCGTGCAGATGTGGCTACTGAGTAAAAGATGAAATCGTTCTGAGGAGTGAACTGTCAATCCCCATTAAAATTTCCAGTGACACATATCGTAACCGAAACAAAGCTCGCGGACTTGCATTTTAATTATAAGCTGCGAGTGGAAACGAAGCTAGGTATAGGTATAGGCATAGATAAAGTAGGAAGGACACCAGATATTTACCAACAGGGATCCAGGTGTTGTCCCTTGCTACTAACTTTCCCGAACAGCCTAGCTTGGAACAGAAGATGACCGCTTCACGCTACACCGCGGGCTTTACCACAGCCAGCAGTGCATTAAGGGCTCGTCCACATGTCCACGAGTACTTCGTGTATAGATTTATATCTATGAAAAGTTACATTATATATGGTGGTACATGAATATTACTTCAACATAGTGATACAACTAATTTTACACGGTAGTTACAAATTTGTTGCATATTGTTAAATCATATGGGATATGGTTGTTCACATGTTTGTTTGATTTAGTATTTTGTAGGTTGTAATTCTACAGTTGTTTCAGTCAGTTCCGTGATGCTTACAATTCTTGCAAGGAATTCCTTTTACATGTAGCATATTATTACACAAAGTTCGTATTTGCATTCAGTTTGTTGCAACCTCATAATTTGCGAATGTCCATATCATAAAAATTCTACCAAATTAATTCTTTTTAACATATCACTGTTATGAATATGCATATTGTACTGCAGTTACATTAATTTGAATTTTTAACTTATTTTATGATAGAACAAGTACTTAAGTATTACATACAAAGTTCTGTGGACCATTTCTTCTATCGTACGTTTCGCTAGTTATGGTATAACTAGTTCTGAGAGGAGCTGGGAGGGATTGTGTTACATGGGAGCACATAACAGAAGCTAACGAAGCTGCTGCTCAAAGCAGGTTCATAGGGATACAGTCAAATCCCTATTTATCGAGGGCGGATTAATCGGGTTGCAGCTTATCGAGGGGATTAATCGGAGCCCTGCTAAAAATAAAAGCGGTCTAGTTGAAAAAATATTATCGTAAGAATTATCAGCAGACATGCTAGTGAGCGAGAGAAGACGTTGATATGAGACTTTAGTTGACGACTTTTCCAGGCTTCTTACCTTTCCCCTTTCCAACAGGCTTTTAGTAACCTGACTGCAATTACAAATCCCTTTCCTGCGTCCTGTCCCTTTCATTACTTACCCTCCTTACAGCTGATAATAGATGCGCTCTTAATTTGGTGATACAATAATTGAAGAAGTTCTGGTTAGCAAATTATTTCTGTATGGTGAAACAGAACTTCTCATTTTTTGAACTCTCTCGAACGCTTCAATGGAAAGCTTAGATTTTATTTCTCATTGACAAGCGGTTGTGAATTACTGTAATAGGTACTGCTTGCAGAATGTCAGAAAAAGAAACACGGAAGTATGTTTTCTTTTCATTCATTTGAAGCTTCAAATGATAAATAATTTAGAGAACGGATCAAGTGTGAAATCAGTGTCTCTGCAGTAAAGAGTTTGGGAGCAGGCTGTGCGTGATTTATTAAAGAAAATGGATTATCTTAGGCGTTTATGTGCTTCTGATTCTGCCCTGGGAAATTAAGGAAAGAAAACAATGAAAACGTCAACCTTCCAGGACTTAGATAAAACCATGCTGGAGCGGTTTAATCAGCAGAGAGCACAGGGAAACCCAATAAGTAGGTTGATTTGTGCAGAAAATGCTAAATATTTTTTTTCTATTCAGCAGTTCGGACTTGAGGGCGAAATTTGTGCATAATCAGGTTCACTTACGTGTTTCAAATAGTGCTATGGTATTCGAAAGCTCGAAGTGTAAGGTGAACTTTTGAGTGGTGATCAGAATACAGCAAAAAGACTTTTACAGTGATTTTTAAAAACTTGATTGAGATTGAAAAATAGACTCGAGAACAATATACAATGTTGATGAATCAGGACTGTTTTGGAAACGCTTGCCAACAAAAACTCTTGTGTCTGAAAATGAAAAGAATGCTTTTGGTCACAAGATCAGTAACTCTCGTGTGATAATAATGACCTGCTCTAACGCGGCAGGAAACCATAAACTGAAACTGGTTGTCACTGGAACGGTAAAAAAAAAAAACCAAAATCTTTTAAAAGCACGGAAGCAACAACTTACCAGTGCACTATTTCAATAAGAAAAAGGGATGAACGAATATAATAATATTT